AAACTACAGCGATGGATACATGGAGAACAGAAGGCAGCGAGTGGCCAGCCAGCCCTGTGCGCTAGCAATTAAGCCAAATTCAAGTCTGAGAAAGCAAAAACTCAAAAGGAAGCTGCTTAAGTTAGGCTCTTCTTAATGAGACAAATGCACTAGAAGATATTGCCTGCTAACAGTATTCATAAGCTGCTCCCAAGATGTTTTGATTAAACCGCTGTTGTCTTTCTAGTGTACTAATGGTTTTTAATCTCTCTTGATGCCTTGGGGCGAAGGGGTCTACTGATTCACAGCAGCTTGGTGAGCTGAAACTTGTCCCTGGTGAATGCATCTCTCATGCCAGAATCGTGGCTTTTAATTTTTAAAAATGTGAGTTTTTAGCAAAGGGAGAACCCTTGGCATGTGAGCGAGGCATAACCGCTGCGATGCCACGTGCCTGAATGTGAAGGGAGCTCCTCTGGGAGAGAGACACGTACTTCTCCCCCTCCTCCTTGGGGTACACTGAATTACAATGCTGGCACTATTTCACTGCTGGACAAAATCTAATTGCACTTTCCTGCCTGGCTGATGTGACGGGGAGAAGCAGGGTGCTGTGTCACCTGCTGCTCCCGCGCCGACCCACCAGAAGTGGGCACAGACCCGCGGGGACTGCGCAAGGCAGCTGGCAAAGGGGGGTCAAGCCTCATGGCGTGGGGGCTTCACACAGCTTCAGGGAGTGGTGCTGGGGTGGGGGGTGATGCTGGGGGACCGCTGCTATCTCTTCCCTTGTGTGAGGCCTCTCCTAAGTGGTCTGCTGCGCTCGCCAAAGCATCGGGGGCAGAGTCACAAGTGTGGGAATGTGGTCGCAGCCGTGCCACGGCCGGGATCGCTGTGGGAGTCAACTGCGGGTGTTCAGCTCAGAGGCTTTGGGCCTTTCCCTCCCCTTCATGCTTCCCTGCTTGCCGGCAGTTATGGGATGGGCCCAACATTTCTCGTGTCCAGGAAGTCTGGCTCCATCTTCCTCGTGAGCATCATCCAGCTGTGCCACTCAGCTGGTTCACAGGCAGTGTTCTGACTGTGCAGCGTTTAGTCAGGGGATGGGACGTGAGAGGGCTGATTTCTTGTGTTTGGTGGCCCTTGCTTCACACAGGACCACTGGGAAATGAGGGCAAGGAGTTGGGTTTGATTCCTGAGGAACTGCACTCTTCAAGCCAGGAAAGCAACCTCGTTTGTGCCCTAGAGCCGTGCTCTGGGCTCATACTGAATTCTAAGCACATCAACCTGTTTCCCAGCGGCCAGTGTATTTTCAGCACTCATCCTCCTACATGGGTGGTTGCACCTCCCTCCATTTACAGCCCCCCTTTCCCCC